AGGCGTTTCGGGGTTCCGCCAAAACTGGCCCGCCAACAACAACAACGCTCCGGCTCGATACTTCCTCCTTTCTCATTCTGCTCGCCCCTCAAAGCCGCCTTTCCAACAAATCGGCGCTCCCGCTCTGTACTTTCTTGTTTTTCACATCAGGACCGTCGCTCCCGCTTCAGGAGCCCTTGCAAAACGATGCTCTCGCTCGATACCTTCTCCGCTTTTCTACAATGCAGCCAGGAGGCTCGGAGGTTTCCCTAGTCCCTGTGTAACGTAATCATTAAACAAGTGTTATTGTTGGACACCCCGAATGTGTTCTCGCGCTCTCACGCCTGCTCCGCGCGACCTCGCTCTCGCTCGTGTCCTGGGGCGTGGCGTCGTCGCCGTCGCCGCCACCGCTGCCGCCGCCGTCGCCGTCGTCGTCGTCGTCGTTGTTGTCGTCGCCCTGAATGCGCTTTCGCGCGTTTGCGCCTGCTCCGCGCGACCTCGCTCTCGCTCGTGTCCTGGGGCGTGGCGTCGTCGCCGTCGTGGCCGCCGCCGCCGCCGCCGCCGCCGCTGCCGTCGTCGTCGTCGTCGTCGTCGTCGTCGTCGTCGTTGTCGTCGCGGTCGTCGTGCTCTGGAGGTTGTCGGGGGCCTCTGGAACTCCTGGAGACACTTGGGGCCGGGGGCATTCTTTGGAGGAGGAGTTCAGGGAGGCGGAGGAGGACGAGGAGGAGCAGGAGGAGGAGGAGGAGGAGGAGGAGGACGACGATGACGACGACGACGTCGGCGGCGTCGGCGGAGTCGGTGGAGGCGGCGGCGGCGGCGACGACGACGAGCCCCGGCGCCACCAGAAAACGGCTGACGCCAAAGCGGTTCTTTGGAAGGGGTCGGAAGCCCAGGGGCCTAAGATCTGAAGCTTCTTTCAGAGGCTCTGGGGGCTATCCACGGGGCTCTCTCTCACAGGTTGTGAGGCCTCTCCCTGAAGTCTTGGGCCAGTCAGGCGTCGTGATACTTAGGAGCAAGGCTTGGGCAGGGTGATTGTGAAGGCGATGTGCCATCCTGGGGCTGGAGATGTTGAAGTGCCCTGGAAAAGGTGTTGTCAAGACTTCCCAGGGCGGGACATCAGGGGAACGGAATATGCGACCCCCGTGTGCAAGAACAAAATTACCTATGTAAGGGGGGGTGCCATGATGTACGTATTTTGCCTATAGAAGCATAGAGCATTCGGGAGTAGTGGTTGATGTTGTTGTTGTCGTCGTCGTCGTCGTCGTCGTCGTCCTTGTTGTTGCGATTACTATTTTTGCTGTTGTTGTTGCTGCTGCTATTGTTGTTATTCTCGTGTTTTGTTGTCGTTGTCGTTGTTGTTGTTGTTGTTGTTGTTGTTGTTGTTGTTGTTGTTGTTCGTTGCGACCACCGTCCCGGCCCCAGCTTGTTGTTGATATCTTGTTCTTCTTGGAAACTGATATTCTATCATTCTTGGTAAATTGAAAACTTTCAGTTGGCGGAGCTTAGCCCCCCCCCCCCCGGGGCCGGGACGGGCGCCTTCACTGGGTCGTGGCCCCCGACCAGGCCACCGCGGCTGGGACGGGCGTCGGCACACGGGGTGTGCGACCAACAAACCGAAAACCGTAACCATTTTGGCTCAAGGCGGGCCGCGCGCACGCTGAGCGCGCGGGCGGGGGCCAGGGCGGAGGCCGCCTGCCATGGCGGAGGGCCGCGGGCGGGCCGCGGGGTGCTCGCCGCGTCCGCGGCGCGCGGCCGCCCGCCGCGGCGCCGCGCCCGCCGCCGCCGCCGCCCTGGTCTGCTGCTTGGCGGCGGGAGCCGGCGGCGGGAGCCGGCGGCAGCGGCTGGTCCCCTCCTCACTCTCACGCCCCTCGCGTTCCTCCTCACCCTCCTCATCTCCTCCTCCTCTTCCTCCTCCTCCTCCTCCTCTTCCTCCTCCTCCTCCTCCTCCTTCCTCTCCTCCTCCTCCTCCTCCTCCTCCTCCTCCTCCTCCTTCGGTATCCCGCCTCACGGAGTTGAGCAGTACCGCGGCGCCCACCGCTACGGAGTTGAGCAGTACCACGGTGTCCAGGACTACGGAGTTGAGCACTACCACGGCGTCCACCACTACAGGTTCGAACAGTGCCACGGTGACCGCCGCTACAGGTTCGAGCAGTACCTCGGATTCCAGGACGACGGAATTGAGCACTACGACGGTGTCCCTCCTCCTTCTCCTACTCCTTCTCCTCCTCCTCCTCCTCCTCCTGTTCCTCCTCCTGCCCCTCCTCCTCCTCCCAACTGTTAGTCCCATGCATTCCTCCTCCTCTTATCCCCGCCTCCTCCCTCCCCCCATCCCTCCCTCTCCTCTCCTCCTCCTCCTCCTCCTCCTCCTCCTCCTCCTCCATCCCTCCTCTTCCTCATCCTCGCGCCCCTCCTCGCCCTCCTCATCTCCAACTCCTCCTCCTCCTCCTCCTCCTCCTCCTCTTCCTCCTCTTCCTCCTCCTCCTCCTCCTACTGCCGCGGTGTCCACCGCTGCAGGTTCGAGCAGTGCCGCGGTGGCCGCCACTGCAGGTTCGAGCAGTGCCGCGGAGTTGAGCAGTGCCACGGCTTCCACCACTACGGAGTTGAGCAGTGCCGCGGTGTCCACGACGGAGTTGGGCACTACCGCGGCGTGCGCCGCTACAGGTTCGAGCAGTGCCACGGTGGCCGCCGCTGCAGGTTCGAGCGGTACCTCGGCTTCCGGGACGACGGAATTGAGCACTACGACGGTGTCCCTCCTCCTTCTCCTACTCCTTCTCTTCCTCCTCCTCCTCCTCCTCCTCCTCCTCCTCCTCCTCCTCCTCCTCCTCCTCCTCCTCCTCCTCCTTCCTCCTCCTCCTCCTCTCCCTCCCTCCCTCCTCCTCCTCCTCCTCCTCCTCCTCCTCCTTCTCTTCCTCCTCCTCCTCCTCCCTCCTCCATCCCTCCTCTTCCTCATCCTCACGCCCCTCCTCGCCCTCCTCATCTCCAACTCCTCCTCCTCCTCCTCTTCCTCCAACTCCTCCTTCTCCTCCTCCTCCTCCTCCTCCCCCTCCCTCGGTATCCGGCCTCGCGGAGTTGAGCAGTGCCGCGGCGTCCACCACGGCGGACTTGAGCAGTGCCACGGTGTCCGCCACTACAGGGTCGAGCAGTGCCGCGGTGACCGCCACTGCGGAGTTCTGCAGTGCCACGGTGTCCACCACGGCGGAGTTGAGCACTACCATGGTGTCCACCACGCCACCGCGCCCGTGCCGAGAAAAAATGCCCCGCCTCGCCTTCGCCACCGTTTACATCTATACATGCCGTATATGTGTTCACATACATGTATACACACTTACACATTGTTAGGCTTACATATATATGTACATACATTCATATACATGCATACACGCATACATATACATGTATATGTATGTAAACATGTATGTATTTGCGTACATACACGTACACATATATAGTATACACAGGGATACTTCGGAATCCCTGAGGAGTCCTCGGGAATGCCCAGGTTTTAACGATTTCGGACCTGCCGGGGCCGGGAGAGTCGTCTGCACACCAGGCGCGCGAATGCCTGCGCCAGTAGGAGATGCCCGGGGCCGGGAGAGTCGTCGGCACACCGAGAGCGCGAACGCTTTTACCCGGGGCCGGGTGAGAGGGCACGCGCCGCGGTGTGCTGACGCCCGTCCCGGCCCCGGCCCGGGGCCGGGACGGGCGCCGCGTTGTTGTTGTTGTTGTTGTTGGTTTTGTTGTTGTTTTTGTCGTTGTTGTCGATCCCCCCTGTCCGGAAACCGTTTCATTTGGCCAATCAAAGTGTTTCTCCCAGGGTTCGCGCATGGTTTCTACAATGGGAAATGAGGGGTCAAAGTGCTTCTCCTGGGGCTCGCACCTAGCTTTTTACAAGGGGAGGTGAGGGGTCACCAAACTGTGCCCCGTGCCTCCGGTTTACAACAACAGCGGCTCCCGCCTGATATTTCCCCACAAGTTATTATCAATTCTCGCTCTCGCGCGAGACGTCCTTATAATTCAAACAGGAATCGCGCTCTCGCGTGGGGCCCCCTCGCAATGTATTCAGACGCCGCGCCCTGGACACTCGGGAGTCACGCTCTCGCTGTGGATTTCCGCATTATTTGTTTAGGAATCGCGCTATCGTTCGAGATGTCCTCGCCATTCATGCAGGGCGCACGCTTCAGCCACCCGCCTGCCCTTTTCCCCTTCCTTCCACCTGTCTCTTCCCCTGCCTTAGGGCCTGCGCGAAATACACGTTGCAGGTACGAGCGATGCACTCCCGAGGGGGTGCGATCGGAAACGAAGAGGGCAGGTGTCGAGGGTTTGGAATATCGTGTTGAGTGGCACGCGAGTAGATACCAGTGAACTGTCTTAAAAAGACTGCTGTTGTTGCGGATGATGATGATGATGATGATGATGATGATGATGATGATGATGGTGTCGCTGCTGCTGCTAATGATGATGATGCTGCTGATGATGATGATGATTATGATGATGCTGCTGCTGGTGGTGATGATGATGATAATGACGATGCTGCTGATGATGATGATGATGATGATGCGACTCACCCGCGACCCACCCCACGCTCGCCCCCTCGCTTTTATCCGCAACTGCGGGGTACGCTACAGCCGCTACGGTGGGGGCGTTCGTTCAGGAATGTACCCTGAAAGCTTCAGGCCCTGCGGGGTTCCTTCTTTGATGAGGGCTGCGGTGATATCCATGGACAAGCCTCAGTTCGAATTCCACTAGTTTCCAGACCCTGCTTTATTTGCGGTAGGTTTGCGTCGTGTCTACCAGTGGCGACCCCGCCGCCGGCTTTTAACGTTGAACGCCGCTAACGACCCAGAATCGGTCGATGTTGAACGATCTGACGTTTCGGAAACGGCCGAGCGTTCAAGGGCGAACGATCCCCGCGGTGTCAGAAACCAACGCCGAAGTCGGCACGTTGCGAGCATGCCGTATCTTGTGCCCCGACCGTGCGTGCTATAACTGCGCCAATCTTGTGCACCTCGCTGCCGTGCAAGGCGCCGCCCGGCCTCCGGCGACGCGGGCGACCCAGCGCCGGCCCAGGCTACGAGCCCGGCCGCGTGCTGGCAGGCAGCTCGCGGCAAAGAGGGGGGAGGAATGGGGGCTTGTTTGGTAGCGTATCATTGGAGTCTTGTGTACCCTCGTACTTTCATTTTTTGAGTGCGGCAGCGTCGGTCAGGGTCTGACAATCAATGAGACCGTGCCGACTTAGCGTCGATCAGCGTCGATTTAGCGTCGATTAGGGTGTATTGGCGTCGATTGCGTAGCGGCGATTCGCAAGAGCCAGAAAGATGGTATGGGAGGTTTTCATGAGTTGCCGCAGAAGGGGCTTGGGCTTCGGCTGAGTTTCCTCGTCCTCGCCCTTCTTGCATTGGGCAAACTTTGGTGGTCGAGTGTAGCATCAGCGAGACAAAAAGGAGGTACGCCGACTAAGGATACCGTTGTTTTATCCCTGGCGATAACGGGCGTGACTTGGGGGGAGGGGGAGGAGGCGAGGGGTGCGTGGCCGGTCACGGGGGTTATCACGAATAAGCAAGCCCGCGGGCGGGTTGAATCGTGTGGTTGCGGTTGCGGTTGTGGTTGTGCCCGCGGGCAGATTGAAATGTATCGTCAGGTTGCGGTTGCGGTTGCTGTTGCGGGCGGGTTGAAATGTGTCGGCTGGTTACGGTTGCGGTTGCGGTTGTGCGCGGTCGGGTTGAAATGTGTCGCCCAGTTGCGTTTGCGGGTGCGCTCGGGCGGGTGGAAATGTGTTGTCACGAGTGGCTTCCATCCCAGACAGTTCAACGCAGTTCACAGGGTCAGTCAGCAGAGGTCATGGAATTTCATTTGGTTCCGCCAGGGATAAGTTCCTGACAGGATTTCAACATGAAAAGCACAGATTCCAGATCCAGAGGATTCCTATTGAATTTGGGTAGGGTTCTCATGAGCTGCCAATCAAGACGGGTCGCGTCCCAGATTTAGAACATTCCTGTTGAATGTGGGTCGGGTTAGAATCGGGTTTCAGATGGAACGCAATGTATACCAGATCTAGAAGGTTCCATTGGGATTTTATGTGGATGCTTACTACTTATGAATTAGATTCTAATAGGGCTCCCATAGGAACGGAGCAGATCCCAGGTCCAGAATATTCTTACGACGTGAGATCGAATACGATTCTAATGGGGATTCCAGGGCAACGGAGCAGATCCCAGATCCAGAGGATTCCGATTGAACGCAGATCCACAGAGACGCCATCTTATTGGAAACGTCGTCGTCGTCCTCCTTCGATTCATGCTCGTTTGCTTTATCACCTCAGCGCTCTCCTCCTCCTTCTCCTCCTCATGTGCCTTCTCCCCCTCCGCATGGTCTTTTCTCCTCCTCCTCCGTTCCCGCCTTTCTCCCTTTTTCTTTCTTCCGTATCATCCTGCTTATCGTGCTCCTGCTGCTGCTGCCGCTGTTGCTCGCTCTTCTTGGTGAGGAGACGGAAGGTACGAACGAAGGTGGGGGGACCCCTTTAGACTTCGACTCAGTGCAGTTTCTCATATGATTTTGGTAGAAGCGGATCAGATCCCATATCCAGAGGACTCCCAGTGATTTTGATTCGGGTTCTGAAGCGATTTCATGGGAATTGGAGTGAACTCAGGTCCAGATGGTTCCTCTTGAATTTGGGTGGGCTTCCAAGCAAACTTCAATAGAAAGAGAGCAGGTCCCAGATCCCAGGGGTTCTTCTCGAGTTTCAATCGGGTTCTAAGAGGGGTCCAATCGGATTCCAGTACAAAAACAGATCCCAGGTCCGGAGAATCCCGTATGAACTTGAATCAGGTTTTGATACCATTCCAATAGGGACAGTACAGATCCCATATCCAGAGGACCCAAAGGGTTCTTTTCGAATGATTGGTATGACCCTCATCGCATTTCAGTGGGAGCGGAGCGTGTCGCAGATCCGGGAGGAAGAGGATGACCAGTGCAAACCCAAAACTCATCAATGACGTTGGAAGAAACACCCCCCCCCAAACATCCATTTTCATAGGCTCCATAGAAGGGTTCCTGTCCACTGAGGGAGGAGTCCCGTTGGGAGACAACGGTTTGAAGTTCCTGAAGCGTGCCAAACCACCGTTTTCGAAACTTCAACGCCGCTGTTCACCTTTAATCTTGCGTTTTGACGATCCCTGAGCCGTGCCAGAATACCATTCCTGGAATTTCAACACCGCAGATCCATCGTATTTTTTCGCCCAGATCATCGTGAATCGTTCCACGAGTTTACTTTTTGTGCGTTAGCCATAGAAGCCCGTGAAACTGCTGCCATGTTCAAGGGGCATGTGTGCGGCGCTGCGGCGAGAACCACATTTTGAAGAGGAGCCGCCCTCAACCCGTGAAGTTCTTGCATTGGTTTGAAAGGAGTGTTCGCGGCGCGCAGGCGAGAGCCACATCTTGGAAACGAGTGGCCCTCGACCCGTGAAGCTCCTGCAGATCTGTGAGACGAGCGTGTCGCCCAAGTCAGGAGGGCCTTCTGCGCCGCCGCCAGCGATGCGCTCGCGTGGGCGGAGCCTATTCAAAAATCCTGGCGCGCACCAGCGGCCACCTACAGGGTAGCTCGTTCTCAGTAGACGGCATCGAACTCCTTTTTTGGTCTGGACCAAGCGACAGCGCAGGCACGTGCTACGTTCCCTGATCGCCGCGCTTGTCGACAACGGCAACCCCGTCGCCCTTGCTGCTAGTGATCTTCGTTCATCGCCGAGGAAAGAAGTCCTGTTCGACCGCCTCGGGCCGAAGAATCGACGAAGGCAGAGTGGTGGGGCGGGTTGTTGGCGAAGAGCTCCACCGCCAGTTTGAGGCTCCTGACCTCGACGGCCAGCCCCTCGAGGCCCACCGCCAGGCGGAGCTTGCATCGGGGTTGCGTCGGCGTTGCGCCGGCAGCGGAGAGCCTGGACTCCAGCCTTCCTGCCGCCGCGCGTGTCCGAGCCCGCTGCGCCGTGGCCAGACTCCTCCGCGTCGGGCACCTCCTCGAAGGCACCTGCGCGAGAGCCCGCCCCGCTGGGGCCCTGGCGTCGAGCACGAGCGCCGCCGGCGCCGAAATCCAAGCGCGCGGCGCGAAAGCTCAAAGATTTCACACGCGCTATTCGCTGCCATTCGCCCCAGAGGACTATCGTGGATATCTCAGTGGGCCATGCGTGTCGTCGTCGTCCAGGGCCGCGCCTTGGAACTCGTTGCCGTCGCGCGCCTTGGGCCCCCTTCGGGCTGCGGTGGCAGGCGCGACGGGGCGAGGGCTTCAGCGCCGAAGCCGAAGCGCTCCGTGACCGCGCGCGAACCTTCCACGGGGGCGGCCCCATCGGCCGAGTTTGGCAACCATCGCCCAACTGGAATGGAGCTGGCCAGCTATCGGTACTGTGTGCGACGACTGGGGAGCGTGCTTGTTGTGTCTGCACCTGCTCATTGGGGTGTTCGCGCATGTGATCAAAGCATCGCAGAGACGTGCCTTCCCCCGACGAACCCGCCGCCTGACGTGGTTTCGGCGCGGTGGCGGCCGTCAGCCGTCACACAAGGATTCGGCTACTTCGCCGACGCCTGGCTCCAGCGGACCAAGGCCAGAGCCCAATTCGCCGCGTGGCAGCTTTGTCTCTCGCGCTGCTACCTGGCCGCGGGGATGGCCGCGCCCGGCGGAGAAAAGCGAGGGCGGGTTTCTCGGTCGACCCGCCCCCTCTGCGCCGGCGGTGCAACCGAGGGACGGGGGTGGGGCGCTGGGGCGCGCCGTCTGGAGATGTCCGCGCCGGGCCAGCTGTCGAAACTCCCTGGTCACCGCGATCTCAGGGCAGCGGGGGGACTTCCCGCCGCGCGCTCGACGCTGGGGGCCCCCCGGCGAGGATGCTGAGCCCCTCGACCTGCAGGCTGGCCTCGCCCGAGACGAGCTCTCGCGGCCCCTTCCCAGACCGCCGCCAGGAGGCCGGGATGGGGACCGCTTCGAGGAATGCGCCGACCCCGCCGCGGAGGCCAGATGGGCCCGCGCGGCCGCCGACGGAGAGTGCTACGTGCCAGGCCCGCCGCCTTCTGGCCAGGGCAGGATTCGGCGTGCAGGGCGGGCCCGAGCACCGGCTGAACCGCTCCGCCCGACTCCGCAGCTTGTCGCAGTGAGCACAACGAGCGAAACCTTTGCCCTCCTTCACCTCGCCGCCGCGGCTGAGAGACCCGCCCGCATCTTCGTCGACAGGCCGACTTCTGGCAGCAAATCCATCGGATGGTCCAGGCCGAACCCGACATGTTCAGGGTTCAGGAATTCGGAAGTCACTTCGGGGAACATGGGATCGAACTTCGGGGAAGGTCGACAGGGTTCAGGAATTCGGAAGTCACTTCGAAGGACGCGCCTCGCCAATCGCCGAAGCCTTCAACCGCCACGCCAACGAGCTGGCCGCAGCGGGGGCCCGCGTGCGCCCCATGCCGCAGGGCGTCATCGACGCGGCCAAGTGGAGATGTGGATTCGTACGCGTTTTCCAAACACACTTCTACAGTAGCATCGTCAATGTTCTAGCCGCCGAAATCGTCACCCCCCTTACTGTCTTATATGGCTGCAGTTTCGGCTCGAGAGGTTTGGGTGGCGGGGTGGGACCCCGCAGTCTCGGGCCCTGGAGCACGCCGGCCTTGAAGGTGTTCGAGGTGCTCGTCGCGCGGCGGGCGATCGGGCCTGCGGGCCTGGCGGCGTGCGCAGCCGAGGGCAGCGCTGGTGCCGGCAGCACGGCGCGTGCGGGGCCCGTCAGCTGGGCCCTGGCGCTGGCCATCCTGGCCAGCGGGTGGGAGGCGCTGCTGCCTGGTCTCCTGACGTACGGGGCGGACGAGGCAGAGGCGGACAGCGAGCCCCTCTTCGGGGAGCACGGCGCAGGCGGGCCTGGGGAGCTGTTCAGGGGCTCGCGGGGAAGCTTCATGGCGCCCTGGGCTCGGTGGGGCCGGCTCTACCTCCAATCGCAGACTAAGCCGACGGGGGTGGTGCTCCTCCTTCTCACTCGAGTAGGGGGGGCTAAGAGCACGGCGTGGACGGCGGTCGACCCGACGCAGAGAGTGGTGTTCGTGAGCGTTCGTGTCAAGAAGTTTGCGTTGAGCAA